AACAAATTAAGAGGCTGTGACTTGGATAATTATACAGTCCGGTGTGTGGCAAATTGGCTAGCAGGACATATCCAGAGAGTGGTGGTGGATGGGTTGGTATCAGCCTGGAAGGATGTGGGCAGTGGGGTACCACAGGTCTTGGTCCTTGAACCAATACTCTTCAATGTCTTCATCAGTGACTTGGACAAGGGAGTGAAGTGTACTCTGTCCAAGTTTGCAGATGATACAAAACTATGGGGAGAAGTAGACACCCCAGAGGGCAGGGAACAACTACAGGCAGACCTGGACAGGTTTGACAAATGGGCAAAAAACAATAGAATACAATTTAACAAGGAGAAATGCAAGGTGCTGCACCTAGGGAGGAAAAATGTCCAGCACAACTACTGCCTAGGAAATGACCTGCTCAGCAGCACAGAAGCAGAAAGGGATCTAGGAGTCCTAGTGGACTCCAAGATGAATATGAGTCATCAGTGTGATGAAGAAATCAGCAAAGCTAATGCCACTTTATCTGCATCAGCAGATGCATGACAAACAGAACCAAGGAGGTGATACTTCCCCTCTATCGGGCACTGGTCAGACCGCAGCTGGAGTACTGTGTCCAGTTTTGGGTGCCACACTTCAAGAGGGATGTGGATAACCTGGAGAGGGTCCAGAGAAGGGCCACTCATATGGTTAAGGGCTTGCAAGCTAAGCTCTACGAGGAGAGACTAGGGCACCTGGACCTCTTCAGTTTCCACAAGAGAAGGTTGAGAGGCGACCTTGTGGCTGCCTATAAATTCATCATGGGGGCGCAGAAGGGAAATCATGAGGCTTTACTCACCAAGGTGCCCCTGGGGGTTATAAGAAATAATGGCCATAAGCCAGCAGAGAGCAGATTTAGACTGGACATTAGGAAGAACTTCTTCACAGTTAGAGTGGCCAAAATCTGGAATGAGCTCCCAAGGAAGGTGGTGCTCTCCCTTACCCTGGGGGTCTTCAAGAGGAGGTTAGAAAGACATCTGGCTGGGGTCATCTGAACCCAGCACTCTTTCCTGCCTACACAGGGGGTCGGACTCCATGATCTTATTGAGGTCCATTCCGACCCTAACATCTATGAATCTATGAAACTTGTTGCCAGAATACTACCTGGGCAGGGCATTTTCTTTAAATTATTTTTCTTGAAATTATGAACCTGATTTTTCAGCTGGTGCAAATCAATGCCGCTCTATTGACCTCAGTGGACCTGTGCTGATTTACATTATTATAGGTCAGTGACCTTTAAACTGATGGCACACATTAAGACTCAAATCTAGAAAATCACTTAAGCCTCTTTCTGAACTTCAAGCCCATGAATAATACCATTGACTCCCAAGTGCTTTACTGGATCAAGGCCCAGACTGCTTGAAATAAATGAAGTTATGGGGGAAGTCCTTGAGTAAATTATGCCACATTAAAATAAAAGTTCCTCTCAGACAACCAGGCTTCTTCAGCTGTTATTGTCACACAGTCAAAAGATTAAAAAAAAAAAAAAAAAGATGTTTTAAATACAGAAATGTGTTAAAACATGTAACATCTTTATTATCCTTGTAGATAGATACAGCCCTTATTATTTGTTAAACTCTTTTAGATATTAATTTTGCAGTTGGGTATTCAAAATTGGTCTTTAAAATCCCTTACCACAGTGATATCATCTTTTTTTATATTTTAGAAGTATTAAAGAAAAAGCTGTATAAAATGTCACAATATTTGAATTCAGTCCTCTTCATTATACCACTCAATATGAATAGCTTCAGCTTGTGAAAGGAGTGATAGGAAAAGTTTAAAAATAAATATCTTCCAGAACACTTTTTTCCCTCTTTTACCATCACCTACGCATGAAAATAAATGACAGCTTTAGCTTGTGGTAGCTTAATTTTTCTGTGTGTTTTTAACAGTCATTCTTAAATAACCATCAATTGAGTATAGGAAAGTCTGTCAAGTGGATGTGTGGTATGGCTAAATTTTGACGAAGTTTTTCATAAATGTTTCTTTTTCAATGCATTTACACTAAGAAACAAACCATAACAAAGATGTTATCAGTTACAAGACACTGTAACAGTTCCTGTGTATTCTTTTCCATGCAGGTCCTAAATTGCGCAGTCTTTAGGATTTCTACAGCATAACACTGTATGGGAGGTAAAACTATTTGGCAGGTATGGGAGCTAAAACTGTGAGGCAATCTGAGATTAACAGACTTTTGCAGATCCATGGATTTTGATGGGTCTTCAGCCCCTCAGAAAATCAGTTTTTAAACAATAATTAATGACTAAGTATGAACTTATCAGTCAGTTCATCACCCTTAACACATTCAAGGTGTGCTTATATTGGCTGATGAACCCATAACATTGTGCAACACTGCAACATGAAGTGGCTTCTTGATTATTATTTTTTAAGTACAGTAATGGATTTATTATTTCCACTTTCTGAACAGAATAGCTAATCTGTGTATCGTAAATCCTGTGTTGCTGTAAACCAGCAGAAGTTAGTGTGCTGAGACTTGCGCTCTGGAAGCTAAAGGATCTGAGTTGCTACATCCTGAGTTGCCTCTGGGAAGTTCTCAGGAACCACATGTATCCATATATGCAATTCTGCTTGAAGATACATGGTCTTCATAAAGTCCTTGTGCGCTTTTAAACTTTAATAACTTAGGTTGTAGGTATGATAGAAACGTTCTGTAAACAGCATTTAAAAGCAAATTTATTAAAGTTTTAGGACAATTAGAGTACACAATGCTAGGCCTCATAAGTAACAATTTATTCTTTAAAACATAAGAATAATTTCTTATTATTCTTATTCTAGTGGCTCCATGCCACTATGCTCTGAATGACATTTTCCCAGACAAGTGGCTAGGGAGAGGTGGACCAATTGCTTGGCCACCTCGTTCACCTGACCTGTCACCATTGGACTTCTATGGGGACATATTAAATGTGTAGTTTACTTGTCAAAACTGCGTTCTTTGGTGGAATGTAGGGCTGGGATCACCAATAGAATTAGTGCAATAACTCAAGAGCAACTGGGAAAAGGTTTCAAGGAGTTGGAAGATTGGATTGAGCACTGTATCATGATAGATGGTGGTAATGTTGAAGTCCAGAACTGTGTACTCTAGTTGTCATAAAACTTTAATAAATTTGCTTTTAAATGCTGTTTACAGATTGTTTTTATCATATTTACAACCTAAGTTATTAAAGTTTAAAAGTGTACAGGGACTTTATGAAGACCCTGTACAGCTCCTATCAGAACTAAAAACATATTTCTTATATTTCTGATGTGGTTATTTACCAGGAGATTCTGTAGAGTATCAATTATGCAAACACCATCTATCCAAACCATTCAGTTTGGCAGCACATTTTCTGTTTGGATAACTGATAGATCTGTCCACAAATGACATCAATGGAAAATGTCAGTCTACTGAGATCCAGAGGGGGCTGGCTCTTTCAGACGTGTTTGCCTACCATGTTCATGAAACCTTTTTGTACACTCCCATGATTTGGATTCTGGAGATGATCTACAAGGTGAAGCAAGATTCAGTTCAGGTTTTCCCATCCTCAGTGCATCTAGGGATGAAACCCATGGTAGTGTCCTTGTTATTCCATTTCAGGAGTGAGAAATGCCCATTGTCCTTTATCCTATGGTGTTAGGGAGGAAAGCACCAGGGGAGGTACTGAACCTCACTTCACAGGTGCTGATAAAGCAAAAAGCATCTCTGGTCAGAAGAAGTGAACATGCTCTCAAATGAGAATGTCCATATGGACAGTACATTTCAAGGGGTTCCAAGCAGTAATAAATAACTTCCTCCACACCTCCCTACAAATATGCATGCCTGCCTTGCCTAATTCAATTGTAAGCTGCCTAGGGAAGGGATCTTGTCTTACTCTGTGTGTGTTTGTACAGGGTCCAGCCCAATGGGACCTTGATCTTAGTAGCAGCCTCTGGAGTCAAGCCATAATACAAATACATGGTAATTAAATAACTCAACAAAAGGTTGATTTATACAGTTATGTGTGGGATTGTGCAACTTCTTTTACTACAGACTTTAAAGGTGCCTTTATATAGTACTGGAAGCAAGAATGTTTTGGTGATATCTTTTATTGGACCAACAGAATAGTTGGTAGAGATGTTAGACAAGTTTTAGGGCACAAAAGAAGGGCACTTTTTGCCTGAAAGTTTGTTTAACATCTCTCCCCACTATACCATTGGTCTGATAAAAGATATCACCAAAACAACCCTTGCCTCTTTAGATCATCCTGGCTGCAACACTCAGACTGTATTTTTCTATAGCAGCTACTCTGAGGTCAGTGATAAAATATCCACTGAGGTTGAAATGTTCTGCCACAGGCTTTTGTGTCTTTCTGGAATTGATGTCAAATCAGTATTCATTGATCTTAGAGCATCTCTTCTTAAAGAAGAAAACTATAAAAACTGAGTTGAACACAAAATTTCAGAACAAGAAAGCATTCACAAACTAGATTAAGTTAAGTATGATTGCAAAAAGATGCTGGATTCTTGTTCCATTACCTGGACTAGTTTTTATAACCCTGATGTCCCTCAGTGAATTAACTGCTTTTTTTATCCCTTTTCATCTCTTCACTCTTCCTTCACCTCTCACAGCAATGCTCCTTTCCCTTTTCCCTACTCTTTGTATTTAAATTGCTTTATTCTGTTCTGTTTAGTACCCCTGCTCTCTGAAAGTCCGTTCATAGCATCTGATCAAGTATGCTGTTCCTGGTGCAAGTCTATGCCTTTCTTCACACTCTAGTTAATTTCTAGAGTGCCACATGGCCTAGCCTTCTGCCTGATGTCAGGCTAACATGGCGCTCTCTCTCTACTATTACAGAGTAATGGACTTTTCCTTGTTTAAAAATGTATCAAGTGGTTCTCACACAAAGCAATGCAATAGAATCTAGTAGTCTAATTATGGGGCAAGAGGAAAAATTGGGGATTTCTTTCATGATATTACCTTTTTCTTTCTTTGTGCCTTTCAGTTGTGGAGTACTCCATTTATGTGCATACTGGAGACCTGAAGAAAGCAGATGCCAGTGGAGAAGCGTATCTTTGTATTCAAGGAGAAAGAGGTGACTCTGGGAAGAGATGGCTTAGTTCAAGAAGTGGTCCAATCACTTTTGCTAGAGGGCAGGTAAAACAACTGAGGAAAATATAAGTGAAGTTGCAAATGTCTTTAAATTTACATATTTACATAGCCTCTTTCATTTAAGGATATTAAAATTACTTTACAAACCTAAAAATACCATATAGAAAACATTTTACCTACTTTTAAAAAGCAACAGTCTCAGGGATGCAACATGACCTCGCTTATGAATTATTAGTACAGCATATTAGGAAGCTAATGAAGTGTAGGAATTTGTAATACAGACACCTTGAGGCAGGCATTTATCTAGTGTTTCCGTAGTGGAAGTGCGTGCTAAGTATAAAATGGGGCACTTACAGGGACCAACCATAGGATGATTGTGAGCTACCAGAGTGGTGCAGCTGTGAAAGTGGTTAATACAGTTGTAGGGTATACTTGCTACTATTCTTCCTCTCTGCTTGTACCAAATCCAGAGGCAGTGAAGATGCCCTCAGAGTGCCCTCTGTCACAGGTCTCAAGTATTCCAGAGTGCTGAAAGAAGTTCAGAGCAGCAACAGGGGACACCCCTGGGACAGCTTCACCATCTCATTTCTGGGTTTGGTATGCAGAGAAAAGCAGCAGGTAGTCAGGGCCATGATTCTTGGCAGCATTCTTTAGTGCTTTGCAAGCAGTATAGATGCACCCTAGGAACTTCATGATTCAGATGTATATACTTGGGGAGCTTTTATACATTATAGGTAAAGCTTCTATAGAAAAAATATAGGTATGTAGTTCCTATCTTACTGTTTCATAGGTGCCAGATTGATGAAGATATTCTGGTACATAACTTCTGTTGGAATCAATTGTGCTGAAATCAGTAATAGTTATATGCTAAATCCCTTTGGAACTCTGGATAATGCCAGTTTCTATTACAATTATAATTGATCTGATCAATTTATTTCCCTCTAAAAGCCAACAAAAATGAGCAATTAATTGGAAATTTCATCTGAGTACTAAATTTTCTAAAAAATGAGCATTTCCTATAATACTATTTCAGAATTTTAAATGACATACTTATTTCTAGTTGCTGACACTGGAAATATCAATTATAGCACATACTGTTTCATACTAAGCTTGAAATAAATGAAATGATATGGGTAGCATAAACTTAATTACACTGATATACAAAGCAATACCCACATATGCAAAGCTAAATTACTAAATCATTACAACCAGATACAAGCTTACCAGAACAAAATTACCATTTAAATTATTTTCATTCCACAGGTGGATGTTTTCAAAATCAAAGCAGTACACCTTGGCAAACTGAACCAAGTTCTTGTGGGATTTAAGAGTCTCAAAAAAGGTATAATACGCTTATTTTTCACGTTAAAATTATGTCTATTGAATATTCAACAGTATATAACACCTATCATACACGGCAGCTTGTTTGTACATTGTTCTTTGTCCTGCATGTCTTGACAACAAGTTTTGCTTTGTATGACTTAGCTAGTTTATACATGTTCATTTGGCCATCTTCCCCCCACCTCCTATGAGGACACTGTTTTTACAATCTGACATTTTTAATGATGGGAATTATTATACAGCCCCCAGCCTGTACTTATGTATGTGATTGTTCTGTCCTAGGTGTCAGACTTCATACTTGTCCTTGTTGAACCTCATGAGATTTATTTTGTCCTAATTCATCAAATTGTCTAGGTCACTCTGAATTTTAGCCCTACCTCCCAGCATATCTACTACTCCCCTCAGCTTGGTGTCATCTGCAAACTTGCTGAGGGTGCACTCTATGCCATCTTCCAGGTCATTGATGAAATCAGTTCCTCAAACTCTGTTCCCATTACTAAGGGTTAGAATATTGGAAAAACCTAGGTGATTCAAGTCAGTTATATCATGGGAAAATCCACTCAGGGTCTATTAGTCTCCTATTGCATGTAGTGAAATGGTGAAGTCCTGACTTCATTGATATTAATGATGCTGATGTCACTGGAGCTAAGGTTTCATCTGAAAAACTCTGAGGTTTGTTAGGAACAAATGTAACTTGAAGGCATTGAGACTATAGAGTAAATTTCAGTGCAACTAACTATTAGAGCTGTGCAAAGCTTCGGTCACTGATTCAATTTGGTGGAGATTCAGCCTGATTCAGTGGCCAAATCTCTGAATTAGAGGACCCTTTAGTCTCTCTGAATTGATTCAGAACCCTTTGAATCGATTCGGAGAGATTCAGACAGATTCGGTGATTCAGATGTATCTACATCTTTAAATGTTTTTTCTACATACCTCTAGGTAGCAGGGGCTCTGAACGCTGTGGTGCTAGGGCAGATGCAGCATCCCACAGAAGCATGGGGGGCCCCCCAGCGTGCTTGGCAGCAGACCCAGAAGCGGACGAGAAGCACTTACAGGTCCCCTGGGGAGTGTGCTGGGGGGCCCCTACAACCCCCCAGCTCAGCAACTTCGGTGCCTCCTGGGCCTGAGGGGGCACCCAGGGCCCCTTCACAGCTGATCACCAGGCCAGCAGGGCATGGATGGACTCCCAGCACGCTCCCCAACAGACTGGGAAGTCGACTGGAAGTACTTCTGGTCCACTTCTGACTTCACTGCCGAGCACACTGGACAGCCCCCCACGCTGCTGTGGGACCTTCCATCCAGCACAGCACCACAGTGATCATGAGCTGTTCTGCTACCTCAGGGTATGTAGAAAAAACTTTTAAAGCTGTGCCTGTGTCCAAATCACTGATTTGTCAAATCAGCATTGAATCATCAGATTTGGATTCAGCCGAATCAAATCGGGGACAGTGATCCACAGTTTCATTCATAGTTTCATAGTCAGTAGGGTCAGAAGGGACGTAAGCAGATCATCAAGTCCG